GCACAGCTCAGTGCTGAAATGTGCCCAGCTCTGGGGCGGGACAGGGCAGCAGAGACCAGCAGCTGGGGGAGAGGGGCTGCACCCCAGTGCCCACCCACTGTGCCCCACTCACCTTTCCCCGCCTGCCGGCCCAGCACGGGGCTGCTGACCAGGTACTTGCGGTGCCCGCGGGCCCCCTGGGAGGCAGGAGCAAGGTTGAGAACGGAGTCATCCGAGCCCCCCTGCTCTCGCCTTAGACCCTGTCCCGCCCCATTCCGCTCCTTTCCCAAGGCTGGAGGAGAACCCAGACGTCCAGGCTGCCGTCCTCTGCCCCTGCGCCCCACCAGCCCACCCCTCCCAGCACTGGAGATGACCCAGGTGTCCGGGGCTGCCCACCCACTCCTCACCCCAGAACAAAAGGGAACCCAGGCATCCTAGCGCCCCACCCTAAGTCTGTAGTCATCGCCCCCTCCCGGGGCTGGGCAAGGAATGCAGGCATCCGACTCCCACCCCAGTCCCTCCCCGAGCTGAAGAGATCCCTGAAGCGGTGGACAGAACCCAGGCATCCCATGCTTCCAGCCACCCCGCCCAGTACCACTGCGGGGCAAGGCCCCCACCACCCCCCGATCAGGGCCAGACTCACTGGGTCGGGGCTGTTCCAGGACGCGGAGCTCAGGGGTTTCCTGCCACGACCACCGCGGCGCCGGCCCCTGCAGGGAGCAGCAGTCAGGGCAGCGTCAGGCCCCAGGGCTGAGATCTGCACCCCCGAGGCAATTCCACCACCTCTCCCCCTCCCCACCTTCCATGAACGCCAACCCCAAGGCAGATCTGGGGGAGAACCCAGGTGTCCGGGCTCCCTGCTCTGCCCCACTCCCACTCAGGCAGAGGGAACCCGGGCATCCGAGCGGCAGGTACCTGGGGGGCGCTGGTTCCGAGAGCTCATCCGCAGAGCTGAGCGAGCTCGCCGAGGAGCGCTGGCTCCGGAAGCTTTCCGCTGTGGAGGGAGAGGGGGGCTCAGCCCCTGGCTGCCCCCAAACCTCCCTCCTCCCCCAAGCCTAAACTCAGCCCAGTAAGGCCCTCTGCCATCCCCAAGACCCCCCCACCCATCTTCCCCCAAACCTCCTTGTCCCCTCCCTGCGCTTCCAGCTCCCCCTCCACCCCCCACATACCGGATGAGCTGCGCCCGCGTGTCCTGCCTGGCCCGTCCGTGGGGGGGCCCCGGGAGCGTGCACGGCCCCAGCTGGGCGGGAGGGCACCCGTCCCCCGCCGGACCTGCCGCTGCCTGGGGTGGGGGGAGGCAGCTGCAGAGAACAGGGCAGGAGGGGAAGGCACTTACGCCCGGAGCTCGGCTTCCTGCTGCTTGCGCTCCTTGGCCCGCACAAAGGCCGTGGGGTTGAAGCGTGGTGGGCAGGCACCTGTGGGGGGGCAGGGACTCAGACTCCTGGCACCCCCAAGCTCTTGGCACCCCACAACCAGTCCACGGACCCCAGTGCCACCCCCCTCAACTCACCTGTGGGTGAGGGGGACTGGCGGGGGCGGCGGGCCCGGGGCCCCCCCCCCCGCCAGCGCCGGGGGGGGGCCCCGCGGCCCCGCTCTCCTGAGCTGGAGCGCCCCCCAGGCCGCCCTGTGCTGCCCCGGGCAGGGGCCATGGCTCGGGATGCTGGGCCTGGGCCCGGGCCTGGGGGACGCCTGCGGGGACAGAGCTGGAATTGCTGCCTGGCAATGCCCCCACCAGCTCGATGGTGCGTGCCAAAAGGAGCGTCCTATCCCCTGTGGCCCATGCCCTCAGCAGTGGGCCACAGGGGGGGCATCATGCCAGAGGGAGACACTCACCCCCTCTTGTACAGCGCCAGTTCGTTGGTCAGGCTCTTCACGCGGAGCCGCAGGCTCCTCTCTGCCGCCTTCGCCTCGGCCAGCTAGGAGGGTTGGATTAGGACCGCTGGACTTGGGGCGGGGGGGCTTCAGCCTGAGACCTCCCCCGTTTTTATTCTATTTAATCTGGATCTTGACAGAGCTGGGAACAGCCAGGAGCAGGGAGAGAACCCAGGCGTCCGGGCTCCAAGACCCCCGCCTTCCCAGCTGCTCTGCCAGCCCCAGCTGGGAGAGGACCCAGGTTGCCTGCCCTCAGCCCCCCTCGCTGCGCTGGGCTGGAACCCAGGCATCTGGGCTCCCAGATGCCCTGGTTGTAACCCCCCACCCCTGAGCTGGAGAGAACCCAGGCATCCAGGCCCCCAGCCCCCCCACAGTGGGAGCAGATCCAGGTGTCCGGGCACACCTGGCTGGCGAGCTGCTGGGCCTCGTGCAGGCGCTGGGCCGTCGCCCGCTGGTGCCGCGTCCTCTCTCGCAGTAGCTCGGCCTCCAGCCCCCGCGCCAGCCGGCGCAGCGCTGCCACCTCCGTGCTGCCCCCCCGCTCTGCCCGTGCCTCCGCCAGCCTGGCAGGGGACAGGAGAGGGCTGGTGCATGGCTGCCAGGGGAGGGGGGCAGGGAGGAACTGTACCCAGAGGGAAACAGGCACAGGACTAGAGGGCAGGGGTCTGGGCAGGCAACTCAAGTGTCCTGGCTCCCAGCATCCCCCCCTCCAGATTTGGGACAGAACCCACCAGCCAGCCAATGTACCCCCGCACCCGCACTCACTCATCGCGGAGCTGGCGGATCTCGGCGTCACGGGGGTCCCGGCCCGATCCCGATCCCGATCCTGGCTGGGCCCGGAGCCGTGCCACCTCTGCCTGCAGCTGGCGCATGGCCTGGCGCAGCGCTGCGGGGTCCGGCTTGCCCGTGTACGGCAGCGGCAGCGGGTAGTGGATCCTGTGGGTCAGACCGGTGCTGGGTCCTGGGTGTGTGCGTAGGCCTAGCCCACCCCGGCTGGAGATCCCCCTGCGCTCCCCCACCGTGGCCCAGGCTGATGTCCCCCCACCTGTCAAACTCGACAGAGTAGACCAGGATGAGGTAGCGCTTGGCGCGGAGCTGCGCGGCGGCAGCGGCCGGGGGGGGCACAGGGCGGGGGCCCGCTCCAGCCTTGCGGCTCCGCAGCGCCTCCAGGTCGTCATAGGTCAGCAGGTCCAGGCTCACCGCCTCGCTGCTCTGGGGGGAGAATGCGCTACAGCTCCCAGCAGGCTCCTGGGCCCGCCTGGTGATGCTCGGCTGCCCAGCACAGCTTGAGCATCAAAGCATGCTGGGAGTTGTAGTTCACGAGGCCAGAAATAGCAGTGCTGGGGAAGGGGCCCTGGCTGGTGACACATGGGGGGGGAAGCTGGAACCCTGCACTATGCACCCAGCTGACCCCACAGTTTGGAGGCAAAGACTACAGATCCCAGCATGCCCTTGGCCACATTCCCATGATGCCCATCCTGTGTGGAGCCGCAAGGCATGCTGGGAGTTGTAGTTTGTGAGGCTAGGAATAGCACCACCAGGGAGGGGGGCCCAGCACCCATGGCTGGTGACATGGCGGGGGCAGGGGTGCTGGGACCGGGCTCCCTGCTGAGCCTAGGGCAGAGGAGCAAAGACTACAGCACCCAGCATGCTCTGGAACATCCCTCCATGGCATGTGCTGGGCAAGGCATGCTGGGAGCTGTAGTTCGCAAGAGGCCAGAACTTGCACCTGTGGCGAGGGTGTTGCTGGCACCGTAATTGGGGGTGGGGGGCGCAGGGGCCCCCTGCTGAGCCCGCCCTGGTTGGGGGGGGCATAACTACAATTCCCAGCATGCCCCAGGCTGCGCTGGGGGGCTGACCTGGCTGAGGGCCGACTCCAGCATGCTGCAGAAGATCTCGAACTGCTTGAAGTTCCCCGTCTTGTGGGTCAGGTCCTCCACGACTGGGGGGGGAAGGGAGGGGAGGGGGGCGTCAGCTGCCCAAGGGGCCCCGGAGTCCGAGACCCCCCAGCTAGCCGCGCCCCCCGGAGCTGGGGTGGAACCGACCCCTGCCCCCGCCCCTGCCCAGGTGTC